TGATGCGACATAAGATGGAGTACGTCTACCCATAAGCAACCTATATACTTGAGCCTTGAAGACACTCAGGTTACACCGATTTTTCTAACCTTTTGACTGCGACCTTTCGCGTCCAGCCAAGAACACTTAAGAAGCCGTATCCTCTTTCTGCAAAGCAATTTTTAGTCAGTAAAGGTGAGTACCTACTGTTATTTAGTATTTTTACTAAGCAAACAAATAAAAATATAATTTATAGAAAATCAATTAAACTTTGAAATGTAAAATTTTTGTAAGTCAAAGACAAAGTCAAAGTCATTTATTTCAATTAGACCACAATAGGCACTTTTGAACGTCAAACAAAGCAAGTAAGAATACACTTGTGAGAAAATAGGGATGTTCTGGATCTGGATCTGGATGAAGAATTTTACCGGATTCAGTAAATGTAATTATTTCAAATGGACTGGATATGGGTATTAGATTGAAGAAAAAAAATGTCAAGGAACTACAAGATTCACGTGGCGTTCGAGCGATGAACCAAAAGCCTATCGAAACATACCTACTTTACTAAGACTCCGCCCTTATCCAAAACTGCAGGCGCCAACGCTAACCAGTAGACTACGCGACGTCGCCGCGTCCGCGCACGCTGCTCATGAGGAAGAACCCCTCTGTGGTTCGAAACTAATAGAGCTTTTCTCAATATATACACGTGAGTAAACCGCGATTTTTAGTTAATTTAGTATGTCTCACGATAGTTATTATAAAAACTTATCCGAAACTGTTTGAAACTTAACGAATGTGTTTCATGTTTTTTTTCAGTAGGCTGCGCGACGTCGCCGCGTCCGCGCACGCTGCTCATGAGGAAGAACCCCTCTGTGGTTCGAAACTAGTAGAGCTTTTCTTAATATATACACGTGAGTAACCCGCGATTTTTAGTTAATTTAGTATGTCTCACGATAGTTATTATATAAACTTATCCGAAACTGTTTGAAACTTAACGAATGTGTTTCATTTAAGATACCTGAGATTATTTCAGTTATGGTTAAGGAGCTCCATAATATTCCTACTAGCAACTAGTTCCAAGTTATTAAAATGCGCACAGTTCGCGTCTTAACAAGTAATTACTTTACTTTCTTCCATTAAGGATAAGTACTCGGTAGCTTTAATTATTTATGAATGTACATAATTGTTCAACTTGTGCAGTGTTTCACTGTGTCTCGTTCGTTATTTAAAGCCATTTATTTATCCTTTAGCTGCCTCTCTTGTTAAATACACGAGTAAAATATTAGAAATTCTGCTTTTGAAATTCATAATAAAAAGCTAAGCTAAATTAAGTGTGGGAGATCCATGCTATGGCACGAATCGGTCTGCTCGACTGGAGTGATAGATAGATCCACGGCCTTACAGAAAATAGGCGTGAAACAACTACAGCATGTGTTTCATCGTGTGTGTGAGGTTACCGAAGGCTCAATCCATAAATCTCCATATCCCTAATTCCCAAAAGGTCAGCAACGCACTCGTAACTCCTCTGTTGCTATCACCATTATATCTACTCGTTTGCCGACCAATCACATAAAAAAATACGTATATCCGAAGTAGCACTACAAGCTCCATAACAATCCTATCATTCGTCATATCCACTACACAAACATAAATCCCTCAAAATTACAAGGATATAGTGTAAACCCCAGCGCGGCTCACATTAATTATTTAGAATAATCAACAAAACTATTAGAACAGAGAACAATTGTCATAAATTGTTTGCACAAACAGACAAACAGTTGTTGAATACATAATTAATTGGAGATAAACTACACCTCAGCTGTGTTTGAATTGCCAAGCGAAAACTGTGGCTTAGGGCTTAGAGACAATCGGGGGAAAATGTTATTTTACAAACTATATAAACATAAACCACGGCTTTGGGATGGATCACAGTAATCACAGAACTTCAAAGTTCAAACACAAGAATAGTAGTGTGTAGTTTCTTTCTTCATTGTGCCGTTTTTCCTTTTATTTATTACTTAATTATTTTTTCATTCATTATTTTTTTGTATTTTAAATTTATCTCTTTATTTATTTCTTTCTTTTTTTTTCTTTTTTTGTCTGTTTCTTGTTTTATTTCCATCTTTTGTTACCTATTGCTTTTTGGTATTTCTTTCTTTATACCTTTTTTTCCCTTTATATTTATTTATTTCTTCGTTTCTTTCAAAGTCAATGTCGAATCGTTTATTTCAAATAGACCACTTTAGAACTTTATTTGTTTCTTTCACTTTTGTTTTTTTTTTCTTTGATCGAATATTTTTAAAACATCAGATTACACGAAGAAAATTAAATACACAAGGTATTGTCTACATTCTTATATTAATCTGTGCCATGTTCTTTCCCTCTACAATACTGGCAGTGACAATGCTAACTTGTCACCAACTTAAATGGCTCTATATAAATGTTATTTATTACATCTTAATGAAACCCTATTGACAATAAGTTATTATTGTTTGTGAAATAGAGAACTATTCTTGATTGCTTGTTTGTTTATTTGTTTTGAACAGATTTTAGGAAGATTTTGAGATGACAGTTCTATTTCTAGATTTCAAACATCAGTGAAGACGATTAATGTTAAAAAATTATGTTGTTTTAAAATTTCCTCTATTTTTTTATGGAATAGGAGGTATAGGATCGGACGGACCACCTGATAGTAAGTTATCGGCGCCCCTCATGGACACGTGCAGCACCAGAGGTGTTCAGGCACGTTACTGGCCTTTTAAGAAGGAGTGCGCTCCTTTCTTGAAGGTCATTCCAAAACTTTGCTATTCGGGGCAGAAAGTTATTAAAATCACATCTGTAAATTACACATACCTACACGTTACACACGCTGTGTACTAAAAAATTAATACCAATGATTTATTCAGTCAAATTGATAATTCTACGAAAGGACTTTATTGCAACCAAAATGGACTAAAGTGATTTTCGGAGAAACGTTATTTAACTAAACAAAGGTGAACCGGTGTGTACCGAACACTTATTATTTATGTTCCATACATCGATATATCGATATACATCGACATAAAGGATTTTATTATAGGCTAGAGCGGCACAGCGACAACAGACCTAACGTGTGTGGACATGACCCAAGTATATGACATCTGTGAAGATCCCTACTCTTCCACCGGAATTCGTAAGTAATCTAAACCTACCAAGTATCAATCTATACTAATATGATAAAGAGGTAAAATTTGTGAGTTTGTAAGTTAGTATGTAGAGGGTAATCTTTGGAAACGATAGTCAGATTTCCAAAATTCTTTCACTGATAGATAGCTACAATATTCCTGAGTGCTATATAGGCTATAAAATATCACGCTACGATTAAATATACCGAACAGCGAGAGTAGCTAGTATTATAGAAAACCCCTCTTATGTAGACTAGCACTGGTTGTTTGAGGTGATCAAAGTTTTTGTTTCAAGGCCATTTACGTAAAAACTCTTATGAATTACAATAAACTAATCTCTATTACTTTCTGCTTTTCATAAAACTTGACTTTACAAGCAACTTAATGAATAAAATCCGAGGAAACGCCATAAAAAGAGTAACAGCTTCCTTCTTTAAGCAGAAGACATTAAAAACCTTTTTAGCAGAACATTTTAATTACTTGCGACTTTTGAGTAAGAATTTAAGTTGAGAGATGGTTACATCGAGAAAATACCTTCTAATTATATTTTAGAACCAGTAGGTTATTATAATATTATGGGCTGTCCAATCATAGTGTAATGTGGTATCATACTATTGATCTTTATTGCAAATATTGTCTTGTTTGCTTACATGGCATAAGTGTAGGAAAGCCAAGCTTCGGCACGAATGGGTCGGCTTGGCCGGAGTGATACCACGGCATCGCAGAAAACCGGCGTAAACAACCACAATGTTGTGTTTCGTTCCATGTCAGTGAGGTTACCAGAGGCCCAATCACTCCTACTCCGCCTTCCCCTCCCAATCGTTAAATTACCGACGCCGACCACGCACTCGTAACTTATTTGGTGTTACGGGTGTCCATGGGCTGCGCTGATTGCTTGCCATGAGGATACCGCCTGCTCGTTTGCCGAAAAAATCCTTTTTTGAGCGTAGACAGTCGTTAAATGACCTATCTCTATCTATCCCTGGTTGTGGCGAGAACTGTCAGATTCTTACTGACTAAAAACCTTCCTCGGTTCATTCTCCTGCTCAAAGCTGGAGCCGCTGTATATTATTGCACTTGATCCACAACCCCTGGACATCAGCCCTCGTTGGCACTATCTGTGCTGGTCCGTTAACTCCTAGGTCCGAAATACTTCCTCGCTGTCCAACATACATAATTTAAAACAAAAGAATAGACAAAGATCATTGTTAGTAACGAAATTCTTTAATCATATTTGTGTGGATTTGAACCTAAGAACTCCCATTTAATATATGTTAATGAAAATAGGAAATAATAGTGCCTGATTTATTCTAAGCATTAGGCAACAAATTTGACAAAAACTATTTTCTAAGGTTTAAATTAAAATAATGTAAAGGATTTACAAATCGTTTGTGATTAAAACAAACATCTTCGTATTTAAACAGCTCGCTGTTTTAAGAGATTAGTACCTACTATTATGAACGAAATCCTTTCTGGACAAATGTTTTCTTCATTATCCTCAAATTGGGAGTCTTTAGCAAAATAATCTAGATCGCTATTTGCCTTTGTTTTGAATTTGATTTTATCTCCTATCCTGAATTGGATATTAATCAACTTTTGTTAACAACACACAAGGTTATAACGGAAAGATTAAGATCAATTCCACCACCATCGAAGTTTTTGAAAGTAATCTTATTACCTTCCATAACGTAAATATTATTACAAACCCCTATTATGTTGATTCACATTGCCCAAAAATGAACACTCATTGAAAACAACGATTAAACAAAAACAAATGATGAAAAAATATGAAATAAAAACTTTATTATCTTCTATGAATACTATTACTAACTAAATTTATAAACAAATGTTTCATCATTAGCAGCAAAAAGGCTTGTAATCTTGATTGTCTTCCTTGATCATATCAGATACTTTTTCTCCAATCATAATTGCAGCTCCTAAAGTACCTCCTGCGGTGGGGTATGGCATGACACTAGCATCGGCGACTCTTAGTCTTCTCACACCATACACCCTTAATCTAGAGTCTACTACAGATCCCATTGCACACGTACTACTATAATGGTGTTCAGATGTTGTCATACATCTTATATAACATTTCCAATAATCCCTGGTACCCACTGTGTAATTTCTGCACCCAGGTAATTTGGGATTCTGGAACGTCCCACCAATTTTCTGAAATGCATCTGTGTCTAAGATCTTCATAAAATCTTCTACTATTCTCGCATGGTCTTCTAAATCTTCTTCTTCTTTGTAGTAATTGGGATAAATGTAGGGATCATCCATAAAGTCGCGACTCTTCAAAAGGATTTCTCCTCTAGACTTGTATAATTGCTTGTTTACTATAGAAAACATCATCTCGGAGTTGACATTAGTCCCTATTATATTGTTACAGATTTCGTCAGTCTGACTGTATGTAAAGGTACAATAACTCATGAGATATGGGGGGAGGCTCACAAAATTGATGGTCTGGTAGTCGGGATAGTTACTAGACTCATTCATAGACACATAGCCCATTAAAACTGATGCTGGATATTTGTAAGGATTCCAAGGTCTATAAGGATATACCAGGTTTGTCATGTTAAACACAATAACCACAGCCAAATGATCCTGTAAGTTCTTCCCAACTGGTAAATCAGATATTGTAGCGATTTTGTGACTATATAGATGATTTCTTGGACCGATTCCTGACAACATAAGAAGCTTTGGAGAATTAACAATACCAGCTGACACAATAACTTCTTTCCTAGATTTCACTATAATAAATCTTTTGTCATAAGTATACGCTTCAACGCCCACAGCATTGTTAAATGCATCAAATATAATTTTCTTCACTAGAGTATTTTTTAAAACGTGTAAGTTTGGTCGGTTCCTGATAGGCACTAAGTAAGAAATAGCAGTGCTCTGTCGAACACCGTCAGATATGGTGAAAAGACTGTCACTGTAGCCTAGAGAATTATTTCCACTAAAAGCCACTTGTCTTTGGCTCCCCGTTTCTTCAAATACTTTGAAGTATTTTTCTCTTTTATTACTCAAAGAAAGGGTAAGTCCAACGTTTCCTTCAGTTCCAAAGAACTGTCCTTGAGGAGAGTTGATGATGGAGTCTTCCTCAAGTCTCTGTGACTTTTTTATGTACGGTAAAACATTCTCCCAGTTCCAAGTGCTATCGTTCACTATGTCAGCCCAATTATCGTAATCATATTGGTTCCCCGCGGAGTACAATAAGTAGCTTGATGAACTAGAACCCCCAAGAACTCTTCCTATGGACATGTCATCTTTAAGCTTCTTGTGGCATTGTGATGAAATTCCATCAGGTTCTGTCGTATAGTTCCATGCTGAACTACTTTGCTTCATGTACATAAGTAGGCCTGGTAACTGAAAAAGTTTTACGATATTTACTTTATAGATTTAAAACAATAATTAGCACATTATCAGCCTACTGCTGAAGAAAGGCCTCTTTTCACATGTAGAAGGTTTGAGCAATAGTCACCACGCATGCTCAAAGGGGATTCTCGATTTTAATTTCAAACTAATAAATTATAAGTCTAGGTTTTTTCACGATAGTTTTCTCCACCGTGTATCAGTGATGTGTAAATAATAGAGAAATATAGATACATAGAATAATCAGGGTCTACGTCAACCATCTCTCCTTTTTCTTCATTTTAATTGAATTTCTACTTAATCACGAAAGAAAGAAGATTCATGTTCTATTGTATACTTACACCAGCTTCGACTTGAGGATCGCCTCCAGCCTCAATGAGTAGCACAGTTGTATTACTATCTTCTGTCAGACGGTTGGCAACCACACACCCAGTGGTACCAGCACCAACTATTATGTAATCGTATGACGCGCCATCTTGGAACGAAAGAAAGATATTTTGACAAATCATTGTTTAAACAGTAACGTTCTATTTTAGAATATTATTATGAAAATTTACTTTTTTGGAGATATTTTTTTTTTTTTTTTTGGTAGTTACTGACTTACGCAGTAAGCTATTTATACGGCTCTAATAACATGGGAATTTTAATAAAACCAAAAAACTTACCAAATACGCAGGTCTGCTCTGGAAATTGGTATGATGTTAGGTGTAACGCCGACAGTACTCTCAGGGCACCCTGTATAGCTTGGATGATATTCGCTGAATCTGTCGCGTTGATACGCATCTTTAAGGCTAAAAATAAGAGACGTGTTTAACTAAAACCAAATATAATATAAAAAATTGATGATTCAAAATTAATTAATTCATTATTCAATGCTGGCCAAATCGAAATTAATTTTGAATGGATATAAAACATACAAAGGATGAGAAGGGCCAGGCGAAAGAAAAAGGTCGTTTTTTATGTTATAGGTCAGCAAACGAGCATACGGTTTACCTGATGGTAAGCAATCAGCGCTTCCAATGGACACCCGCAACACGAAAGGAGTTACGAGTGCATTGCCGGCCTTTTAGGGATAAATGTCTGAGTGTCAACAAAAACTGTTGAAGGCAAATCCTCCGCTCGCGTTGCCAATATTGACCGTGATGGCAGGGTAAGGGAGTGAATGTCAACTTAGCTGCCTCACCAGCGACGACAGGACGATAATAATGAGGATCAGATCGCCAGACGAATCCTAAAACGAACGGCCTAGCCTCTGGATTGAAATAGCACCACGAGCATATATCACAAAATATATGGGGATATTAACGATTGAATACATCACATCACTTCCATTGGATAAAGTAAAGACAATTGAACTCCAATTAACACGATTATGACATAACTATTTGATACTTCTATATCAATCAATCAGTTCATGCATGCTCATCGATTTTGGTTGCTATTTTAGGTAAATTAATTGTATTATCACAAACAACTACTTTTAATTTTGTAAAACAACATTAAATTATTATAACAACTATTTTAATATTGTAATAAAATAAATATTGTGTCATAATAGTTCTTATAATAATTTCAAAGTTGTTACTTCATTTACAATTAAACTATTATTTATGTTTAAATGTAAAGAAATATTTTTAATTACCTTCATATGCCTTACATGAAGTACCACTTTAAATTTGTTCCGAATTCCTACTTTGCTACTAGACCGACTAAAATAGATTAAATTTAAAACCTAGCACCAATGTTAAGTTCATCGTCAATTACCTAATTTCCCTAATCGATAAAAAAAATCGTAAAAACTTAACGTCTTTACTCAAAATTTTGTAGTATTTTTCACAGATCATTTAATTTATTAAAGTACTTAAAAAGTGTAGTAAAAATTTAAATAGATTATCTTTCGGAATACTTAATTAAATTAAAAATAAAGTTAGTTTGATTAAGTACATTTTTCATAATTACTTTACTCCTTAGGGAAACGAAAACTTAAGTCAAACAATTAAAATTGAAAAGAAACTAATTTGAAATAATAAAATAGGTTCGGCACGAAATGAACCAGCTCGGCTGGAGTGACACCCCTACAGAAATCTGACGTTGTTTCGCTGTGTTACTCTAGGCCCATGATCCTTTTCCTTCTCTCCCACCTCCTATTCTCCATCATCAAAACGTATAACGTTATCACATAGCAACAAAGCCTAAAGGTCTACAGCCGTAACATACTTCACAAGCTTACAACGCTTAAGGAAGTTTGTAGGCACACAAACAATCTTAGAAACGATGTATCAGCCCCCTCCGATCCGACCAGATCGGAGCCAGGGCTAGCTATGTTTTTTTTTGTTTTTTTTTATTTAATAGGTCTGCAAACGAGCAGACGGATTACCTGATGGTAAGCAATCAGCGCCACCCATGGACACTCGCAACGGAGGAGTTACGAGTGCGTTGCCGACCTTTTAGGGATTAGGGATTTGGAGATTTAGGGATTTAGGAGGGATTGGGGGAGGGGAAGGATTGGGCCTCCGGTAACCTCACTCACACGGCGAAACACAACGCGGTGGTTATTTCACGCCGGTTTTCTGTGAGGCCGTGGTATCACTCCGGTCGAGCCGACCCATTCGTGCCGAAGCATGGCTCTCCCACACTTAAAATTGATAATTCGCCTTTAAGGGTAACAAATGTTCCAAATATAATGAAACCTGGTTAAGTGAGACATCATTTTACTTGTAGAGGTATTCCAATTACTCAGTGTCTCAGATATACAAGTATAAATAAATATCTGTCTCATTTACAGAGGGTTCAATTAATAGAGGTAAATTCTTCAACCAATTCGAAAAATAATGGTTGTCATCCTTTTTATTATTTTTGTAATTCACAGGCAAAGTTTTATCACCTTTGAAACACTTACGAGTATTTCTGAATGACATCATTAAGTCACTTCGTCAACGAATGAATTCCTGTTCATTAAGCGATAGCGATTATCGATACGGAACTTGGCTAGGGAGGCTGGCAGATACATGCAAAATAGTAATAGTAATCTCAAGAAAATATAACAGTATCCACATAAAATGTTCAATTTCCCCGAACGCTGGCATCCCACGAACTGTTTTATGAGTTTCCCCGAAACAGGGCAACTTCAGTCGTATGCTTTATAGCTGTCTTTCATACCTCTAGAGAAATAAAGTTTTGTATTATATTGAAAGTTGACAACCATGCATACACACATTTATGAAACACAAAATACTTAAAAATTTGAGTCTATTGTATGTTTCCTTGACATACTTCCAATAATTGTCATTGTGAACTAATAAAAAATCTGAATATTCTAAAATAATTACACTTTTAAATGATTATACAGTATACAATCATTCCAAAATAATAACACTTTTAAATTATTTTTTTATTAGTCACTTTCACGGTCACAGTTCACTTTTATATTACTCGCGCACAAAGTTTATAAATACCGGCACATTCTTATAACGCCACAGCCGATACAAGAGACTCTATGCATCAGGGTTCACGTGACGATCTCCAGCCACCATGACCAGGGTCTGGACGTAGCTACAACGCTGCCAGACCAGAACCAGACCCAATCGTAGGACACGTTGCGTTCCTCGCGCGCTTCAATCAGCCATTACACCATCATAGAGGAACCTCATTAGGTCCGATGTTGGAGTTGCGGCCGCAAGCTCAACAATGTCCTGGTCTTACACGTGGGGTAAACTTTTACCAGGGCGTGAAAAGTCATCACAGTCCACCCCTCAAACATGGTAATATAAAAGCAAGTTCGTTTATCCCTATGATAACAAAATCTGCTACACAAAGCAAAGTCTGCTTCAAAGAGCATTAGTCTCAAAAGTCTTAAAACAATGTGGTTTCATAATATAAACAACATTTTAATATGATAAGGATAACTTTGTTCGAGGCTATAAACACACCAGCGTTGATTTTGTTATCTCGTGTAGCAGCATATTTACCTAATGCGGTTTCGCCAGCCAAAGAAAAAGGTCGTTTTTTATGTTATAGGTCAGCAAACGAGCATACGGTTTACCTGATGGTAAGCAATCAGCGCTTCCAATGGACACCCGCAACACGAAAGGAGTTACGAGTGCATTGCCGGCCTTTTAGGGATAAATGTCTGAGTGTCAACAAAAACTGTTGAAGGCAAATCCTCCGCTCGCGTTGCCAATATTGACCGTGATGGCAGGGTAAGGGAGTGAATGTCAACTTAGCTGCCTCACCAGCGACGACAGGACGATAATAATGAGGATCAGATCGCCAGACGAATCCTAAAACGAACGGCCTAGCCTCTGGATTGAAATAGCACCACGAGCATATATCACAAAATATATGGGGATATTAACGATTGAATACATCACATCACTTCCATTGGATAAAGTAAAGACAATTGAACTCCAATTAACACGATTATGACATAACTATTTGATACTTCTATATCAATCAATCAGTTCATGCATGCTCATCGATTTTGGTTGCTATTTTAGGTAAATTAATTGTATTATCACAAACAACTACTTTTAATTTTGTAAAACAACATTAAATTATTATAACAACTATTTTAATATTGTAATAAAATAAATATTGTGTCATAATAGTTCTTATAATAATTTCAAAGTTGTTACTTCATTTACAATTAAACTATTATTTATGTTTAAATGTAAAGAAATATTTTTAATTACCTTCATATGCCTTACATGAAGTACCACTTTAAATTTGTTCCGAATTCCTACTTTGCTACTAGACCGACTAAAATAGATTAAATTTAAAACCTAGCACCAATGTTAAGTTCATCGTCAATTACCTAATTTCCCTAATCGATAAAAAAAATCGTAAAAACTTAACGTCTTTACTCAAAATTTTGTAGTATTTTTCACAGATCATTTAATTTATTAAAGTACTTAAAAAGTGTAGTAAAAATTTAAATAGATTATCTTTCGGAATACTTAATTAAATTAAAAATAAAGTTAGTTTGATTAAGTACATTTTTCATAATTACTTTACTCCTTAGGGAAACGAAAACTTAAGTCAAACAATTAAAATTGAAAAGAAACTAATTTGAAATAATAAAATAGGTTCGGCACGAAATGAACCAGCTCGGCTGGAGTGACACCCCTACAGAAATCTGACGTTGTTTCGCTGTGTTACTCTAGGCCCATGATCCTGTTCCTTCTCTCCTACTTCCAATTCTCAATCATCAAAACGTATAACGTTATCACATAGCAACAAAGCCTAAAGGTCTACAGCCGTAACATACTTTACAAGCTTACAACGCTTAAGGAAGTTTGTAAGCACACAAACAATCTTAGAAAGGATGTATCAGCCCCTCCGATCCGGCCAGATCGGAGCCAGAGCTAGCTATGTTTTTTTTGTTTTTTTTTATTTAATAGGTCTGCAAACGAGCAGACGGATTACCTGATGGTAAGCAATCAGCGCCACCCATGGACACTCGCAACGGAGGAGTTACGAGTGCGTTGCCGACCTTTTAGGGATAAGGGATTTGGAGATTTAGGGATTTAGGAGGGATTGGGGGAGGGGAAGGATTGGGCCTCCGGTAACCTCACTCACACGGCGAAACACAACGCTGTGGTTATTTCACGCCGGTTTTCTGTGAGGCCGTGGTATCACTCCGGTCGAGCCGACCCATTCGTGCCGAAGCATGGCTCTCACACACTTAAAATTGATAATTCGCCTTTAAAGGTAACAAATGTTCCAAATATAATGAAACCTGGTTAAGTGAGACATCGTTTCACTTGTAGAGGTATTCCAATTAC